CTGCAGGACAAGCTTTGTATTGGCACAACGTTTAGCTCTTTGTAGACAAAGTTCTGCACAGAGCGAAACTTTGTCTCATTAATAATTCGCCCTGTAGCTTGTGTTTTTGTCTTCAGATCTTGCGATGGTCCCGTATCGCCTGCTTGCTAACATTTCCTTAAAATTATGGTCAAGGTCCACTTTAGGGGCTCTAGTTTTACTTGCTTGCAGTTCTGCTAGTCAGAATTATATTTCATTTCTATTTTCTTGTAATAATAAATAATATTTGGTAAAGTTCAATGTATTTTTTTACATAAGTGAGACAATATCTGGAAAATATGATTTAACTAAACGACGATAAAGTTTTCATTCCATGTGGAAAAGAAATGGACAAAAGAATCTAAAAGGTTCGAGTTGTTATTTTAATGGCTATTATTACTCTCGCATGATAGCTAAGACAGTGATCATTTTAAACAATTTCGATCCTGGAGATTGGATCTAAATGGTGTACTGCCAATAATAGTGAAGAAAACACACTCACTGCCGTACAAACTTTCATAGGGACAACGTTGCGCTTTGTGCATAGCTCTCTCAACGATATCCTAACAAACGATATCCTAATAAACGCTTGTGCCACAAGGAGTGTATTATCTTCAGGGCTCATAAGACATCTAGTAGATGTTTTAAATGGCACTTGCAAGAGGCAGCACATTCAGGCTGCGCAAGAAACAACGCTGCGCAGACAATTGAAAATTCCTCTTCTCACATAGTCCTGAACCTATGAAAGAGTTGACTTGGCGAAGCCGTCGAAGATTTCCAGAAAGCATACTTCCCAAGTCAAAAATCAACTCTCGCAATTTCTCGGTGGGATAGAGCTTGATTGGTTTGTTTGCTCAGGGAAAGAAGTTGAACCATGATTTCCTTATGCTAAATCTATCAACTAAACTTAAGTTGTTCAAACAGCGTATTCGTGAGCAAGGGAACTCCAGATTCACAAGGATAAAATGTTCAAAGAAAATGAATTTGGTTGAAAGATTTATCATTAATAAATCCTGGTTCCCCTCAAGGAAGGTTCCTTGATGTTGGTGAGGGGCTCTTGATTTAGGGAATTGGATTTGTGCTCCAGTTCCCCGAATTAAGCCTGAATGCCTTCCACATCCCCCCCCCCCAGGCGCTGTATAATCCTCTGGGTTTAGCGCTTCCCCCTTGATTATAATAATAATAATAATAAATCCTGGTGTAACCTCTTTCATTGACCAAACCAACCAGTCAGTTCCCATCCTTTACGAAATTTTAAAAATTGGCTTCTGAGCTGTGAAATAAAATTTCTGGAAAAAATCTTTTCGCTAAACTACAAAATGCATAATGTCAGTCATAGCACAAAAATTCGTCCTGGTGTGGGGAACCACTGGGTATAAGTGGTATGAAATACCACCACCAAAAAAAAAAAAAAAAAAAAAAAAAAAAAAAAAAAAAAAAAAACTCAAAGACACATCCGCAGAATGGAAAACTTTATTAGGAGAGCACGTTTGACCCGGATGATGTATGAATAACGTTTGGTGTCCAAATAATAAAGTTCCATTTTGTGTCTTGTGTGTCTTAGGCTTGCAAAGACCTCTCTCTCTCTCTCTCTCTCTCTCTCTCTCTCTCTCTCTCTCTCTCTCTCTCTCTCTCTCTCTCTCTCTCTCTCTCTCTCTCTCTCTCTCTCTCTCTCTCTCTCTACCAAAAAGACTATCGTGTCATTATGACGGTCCTCAGTTTTTTTTTACATATTCAGAAATATTAGTAAAACTGCATCATGGAAGCCGCTTCATTCGCTTATTCAGATGTAAATACTAATATGTAATACATAAATATTAATAAATAATACAAAAAATACGTAAATATCTTTACCAAAACTGCACTTAACTATATTATGAAAAAATAACAGTTGATCATCGTTAACTGTTGTTAAGTAACATGCTAGAGCCTCTAATGTGAACTTTTACCATACGTAGAGTTCAAAATACTTTTTTTTTTATCAAATCTGGTTATAACATATTCCTTTTAAAATCATTCTAGAAATGAAGAATATATATATAATATATATTATATATATATATATATATATATATAATATATATATATATATATATATATATAATATATATTATATATTATATATATATATTATACCATCCTACTTAATATATATATATATATATATATATTATATATATTATAATATATATATAATTATATATATATTATATTATATATATATATATAATATATATATATATATATATATATATATATTATATATATATATATATATATATATATATATATATATATATATATATTATATATATATATATATATATAATATATACAAGTGACAGAAAACAGGTGATATCACCATATACAAAACAACCACTTTGAAATAATAATGAACTTCCAAGTGCTTTCGTGATTTCTCCCATTATCAAGGACTTGTAAAAATAATAGAATTGCATAAGACCTGTAAGGCTGAACTATCACCTTACATACGACATTACACCCGTTCCAGTATGATGAGGTTGGGAGTCTCAAGGACCTGTCACGCATAGCTTACATTTTTTCAGATTTTAATAATTATATATGAACCTAATTTGTATAACCCTGAACTAATATTCATATTAAAATCAATACTATTTTTTATAAGGCTTCATTCAATTATATTTTTCTCTTCCATAGACCTGCTTGATATAATTTTCTTGGAATTTTGAAAATCAAATGGGTGGTTAAAATCTCTCACATGAACAAATAGAGTATTAGACTCTCGTTCAGTTCTATTACAATATTTTTGTTGTTGTAATCTTAGTTCAAGGCTTTTTCAAGTTTGATATGCTTTGTTACACTGTTTTGCATATATACATATATAGGTGTATAGGTAAAAATGCA